GCAGAGCTCCTGCCTTCTTTGAATACTCTTTTGCCCCCTGTAGTGCCATGGCATCAGGGATTAGGCTTATCATAAATACAGTAGGAGATGTTTTACAAGTAATGGTTAAGAGTTAAATTTCTTCAAGTTTGGTGGGATCATTCAATCTACCACTGGACCCAGTTAGAAGAACTGAAAGGGCCAGTTAGCCTTGTCTTTTGGTTTTAAAGTTAGTAAGGTTGTAAGGTATTGTTCAAATACCTTCATGGAAGGATTTGTAGAAACAGCATCTAGGGCCTGACTCAGGAAAATGCTTAAAACATGTGTTCCCAATTTGATTATGGAAGGATCTAGTATGTTCCGTATAAAAATGGAGAAAAACTTAATATAGAACAGTCTGTTTTTTCTGTAATAATTTCAAATTATATGTAATTTGTGTTCTATAAACAGTTACAGCTCTTGAAAGGATAGGAACCAAATATGTATAATGCTGATTTTAGTGCCATTTTTGGTATGTGCTTCTGGAAAAAAAAAAAAATCAGTGCCACAATTATTCAAAATTTATTTTTATAGCCAGATTCGAAAGAACTTACTGGTTTTTGTCCAGAGCTCTTGCTAGTCCTATTTTCTTTAAAAAGCAACATATGTAATTAAGGCAGGTAAAATTCATAAATAAAAAGAGCATTTATGAGGCAAAGGAGAGATCTTCATGGTGATTTGGATCCCAACTGGTCAAATGGCTGGCTTGATGATTCCAGACACAAGTTCTTTTTCGTTGTTAGAGACAATTACCCATTCCATTTCTTCTATAGATTTTTCTTACCTGAATTTCAGAAAATACCTTTGATCTTTGTAATAATACCCATCCATATTTTTGAGAGCAGGTCTCCTTTTTCAACTGTGTTAGCAGGATCTCTCTTCAGTGAGATCTTGAAAGTGTGTGTTTATTTAGTACTGTTACTTTATCTTCCCATACATGCTTTTCTTTTCCTAAAAATGAAACTGTATAATCTAACCTTTAATACTGTGAAAACGTAAGTTTTTTTGCAAAAGTATATGTAGCTGTAATTTGAACAAAACTACTTTGTCCCCCCAGTACATTCATAAATCTGTACATTGAATCTTAGGGGAAGATCTTTGCTGTTTCCTGTGTTGAATAGATATGCAAGTGTAGATTTGAATTGACAGGTACAATCTCATACAATCACCAAAGATAGGTACTAAAAGTATGGGTTTTTTTCACTGATACAAATCCAAATCAAAATCTTTCCCTTTACTTTTTGCTGGTAAACAAAAATTTCCTTTAATAGTTGGAATATAAAATGCAAACTAGATTTCAGTTGTAGATAATTGGGTCCAATGAAAAGACGGTAACAGTTACCTTTTTATAATTTGAGACTGAAAAAATTGGCCAGGCTTTGAACCAATTGTGTTTTTCTATTACCAATTACTCTATTTAGTATTTTGTGACAAAACCTCTTTATTACCGCAACAACTTGGCAGTAACAACTGTGTAGTAAAATAATTCCTCTGAGTAGCCGACCTGCTGTTGCAAAATGCATAATTAATGATAAAGTATAGACCTACAGCTGAATCATTTTGACCTTGGTTTACATTACTTCTGGTAAGGACAATGGGCCTTAGTACATGGTACAGAATTTCATGGTAGATCGCTCAGTGTTTGTTTTAGAGATCAAATTTATGTCAGGCTAAAAAAGAGCATTTTTAACTGTTTTCAGGCTGAGTTTAATTTCTGAGATTTTCTGTATTTCACTTGAGTAAGTGGCAGAAAAATAGCTATATTACAAGCACTAATTTGATCAGCTATAAAGAGCAAAAATGCATTCCCCAAGCATGTTCTGGCAGTCTTAATTAGAAAAATCCTTTGTGCCATTATTATCTGTAGTTAATGAGATTCTTTACAATAATATAAGGGATAGAAAGTACCTACATTTAGCATTTTGCTCCTGGGTTTATAAAAAAGTGGTCCTGCCAGTGAAAGAAGATGTATTTATTTAAATACATGTGCAGTACAGAAGATACTAAAAGAATGCAGCTTCTGCTGAAGAGCAAATTTTACCATAATTTAAATGATTTCACTGAAAATACTGTTGTTGAGGATTTGTGACCAAAAAAACTTAAGAACCGAAAAAGTGCTAATGAATGTGGTACTTTAAAAATTGAGATTTTCTTGGAGGCTTGAAAACATAATTGGTAGAAGTGATTAAAGTACAATCAAGGAAGTGTAGTGGGGGTGAGGCCAGTTCTTTGGAATGGCTCTAAGCTGAGGCTGTGTCTGCACTGGGAGCAGGCTTGTAGAGCAAAGCCATGCTCTTCCTCCATCATACACAGTCAAGTAAGACTAGGGGAGAGGATTATTCCGTAATTGAAATGGTTTCACGTGCCAAACATTGCCACTACTCATGTGGTTAAAATTTTCAGAACCAAAGCTGTTCCACAAACTTTTTCTTCTTCTCTGAGATCTCCTATGTGCCACACTTCCTTGTCGTCTGCCTCACACAGCCGGTGGTAGCAAATTTGTGATGATGTGATACTTTAAATCCTTTGAGTGAAAAGATGGGAAGACAAGGCTGTTCCCTGAGCTAGTCAAGGAATCCAGTAGGAACAAAAATCTTAGTGTAAAGAGGAAAAATAATAAAATTTATGTTAGTCAATTAGTTAACTAGTATTGCACTACACTTATTTATTATTAGCATTCCATTTTATTCTAATATTATGTGTGGCCACATATTAAAATTTTTGCTTTAACATTTCCCAACAGCTTGTATAGACTTCTGTTCCACACATTTGTCCAGACTTCGTCAGTGCAGTGGGGCATGGAGCAAGCTGTTGCTCTGTTCCGTTTGAGTAGTAACTGTACTCAGTTGTGCAGTACTGGGTGAGTGACTCTGCAGAGTGGATTGCATGAACTGTCAACAATGCAGCTTTGTTTTTTAATAAAGTATCAGTTTCCAGGAGTTTTCAGACTTCATTTCTTCATTTATCAGTAAATCAGTTAAACTAGAATCACTTGCTACACAATTTGTGTGTGTAGTGTGTGTATGTTGCTGAAAAACAATGTGACTGATAAAAAAGAAATAGGAAACCATATAATACATAGGTTTTTTTATTTTCACACTGTTCTTGATTATTACATGTATTAATATAAAACTGGAATGTGAAACAGGGCTGGACATCTGTGTAAGTTCTATCTAGAACTGTGTAAGTTGATATCTAGAAAACAAAAAAAATGAATCTCTATATATTTTGGAATTTTATTAATTAAACAACACAAGCACTGCCTAAGTTTTTGAAGCCTGTAAGTATGAATGTCTTCAGCAATTATAAATATTACAGCAATTACAATTACATGTTATTAAGTAATCATATGCAAATAAAAGACAAGAGCAGAAAAGACTTCCTTAAATTACAAAAAATTAGGCTATTTTTAGTATACAGGATTAGTTGCCAATATTTGAAAATGTACCATGCTTAACATTGGGGTGTTTTTTTGTTTGGGTTGTTTGTGGTTTTGGGGTTTTTTTTTGTGTGTGTGTGGTTTTTTTGTTTGTGGGTTTTTTGTTTATTTGTTTTTTATTCTATGAATTTAAGTTACTACTTTGAGAAATGTCATTCAGAATCTTTTCTCATTTTCTTATGTCTCCTAAAAATATTGCTGTTCCTGGTAACTTCTCCTAATGAGAGATAAGAACAGAACAAAATGTCAATAAAGGTTCTAGGAACTCTGCAGCAGTCCTCCTGAATTTGAAGGAGCATCCCTGCTTTGATGATGCGTTAGTGTGTTTTACTTAAGGAAGGAATAATCTTCAGATTTGCATTCCATGCATGGCAGCATGGCTTGAACCTTTTTAATACAATGAATTTATCCAGTGTTGTCAAATGTATTTATGGTGTTTTGTTGGTGGGTTGTCATTTTTTTTGCAAGGAACAGTTTGTTTCATCCGCTTTTCTTACACAGATAAATAATACAGGTTGGATAGACACATCTATAGATAATAGTCTTCCTTTGAGTGCTGTAATTGTCTAATAATAGTTTTGGCTTCATGCCTAGAGAACATACTCTGACATTTAAACCAGGTGATCGGAATGCCTGCATTTCTGAGATATAGCATACTGGCTGTAGCACAAACCAGCCAACACCTGATTTAATTGTAAACCTATTGCAGTCTTATGTTAACGTGAAATGTGTAGACTGTAATTGCGATCCCTCACAGGAAAAAGTTTAAGCAAGATGTAAGTTACAGGATGTGCATGGCATTGTGCTGGTTGTTAGACTTTTAATTTGTAAGTCCCTCAGCAGAATGTGGAGTTTATAGAATTATTTTATTTATTGGGGCCAATATAGTGTAAAATCCTGAGATCTAAAATACTATAGGAACTTCAGTAAAACATTTTTATGAGAGTTGTGATATAGTCTTTAAAAAAGCAGTCTACTATATGAAAACTTCATCTCAGAATAGTAATTTATTAACATTAACAAAATAATAAAAAAGCTGGAGAAATATTAGTCCATTATGGAGTTTGTGTACCCAACATCTGAAAAGTATGAATTGTGAAGAAATTGTGGGAATAAGTTGGTATTTCCTCCTGCAAAGACTGGTAATTCTGGATCTCAAAAAGAATCGCATAAATTGTTATGCCACTGCTTCTATGCCACTGTTATGCACTGCCTTTCTAAGATTGTAGTATTTTATGGAGATCTACTATTAGGAAAAGAATTCTGGTCCATAGGAGAAACAGTCTGCCAAGGAGAGAATTCTGCATCCTGTCAGTGGATGTTTTTGTGAAACAGGTTTTTATTAGGTTGCATGATTTTCCTTTATCTCTCGGGAGGACAGAGTCAAGAGTTTTTTACATAGTGCCAACATATTTCTGTAGACATAATAAACATAGATCATCAAAAGATCAAATTTTATTCTTATTAGGACTGTATAGTTACATTATAGAATTGAAAAACATATTCTTTGCGCCATTTATATTTTTTTCCTTTCTATTTTTAGGATGCAAAGTTTGTAGAAGAGCGACGCAAGCAGCTACAAAATTACCTAAGGAACGTAATGAACAAAATTATTCAAACTGTGCCAGAATTCACAGCCAATCCCAAAAAAGAGACTCTTACTCAGCTGATGCCCTTTTTTGTGTAAGTATCTGTCAAGTAGTCAAGAAAATATTAAGCTTTTTTCATCACAATTTAATTTAAAATATAATGTCAGCATCTCCAAAATCTTTAAAACAGCGTTCTTTTAAATAGAAGGGTCCTGTTCAAATTGTAAGTGCTTTGTTATATTTAAAGGAATATATGACATATATAGTAATTTTTGTTTATTTAAATGGTGAATTTGAACAAAAATCACTTTGATATTTCAAAAATGTCTAAGTGACCTCAAAATCTGCATCCATACATACTCTTCAAACATGAGGTGTTTTCTTTTATTTGATTTTTCAGTTTTGTTTTGCTTTTGTTTGTGTGGGGTTTGTATTTTTGTTTTTAAATTTATTTTGGGGGATAAGTGTGGAGCACTTATTAGGGTACTTACTAACCAAATTAAAAAGTCAAGCTGTTGAATTCTTTCTAGCCGAATTTTGCAATCTGCTGACTCATGTTCTGATTTCATTAATGTTAACGTTGAATATGTCCAGAAATAGTTAACACAATCATCTGTTAAGAATCTCAAAGCAAATCCTTTGATATACAGTCATACAAGGGATTCTGTTAGAATCTTTCCATTTTGCTGCAAACATCGTTCTTTACAGTACTTGTAAATTATATTTAGAATTATTTAAGAAATAATATTAATGAAAATTTGTTTTTGAAAGTAGTGTTAACTTATTTCTTTCACTAGTAATTTTTCAGTATAATGGTTTTTCAGTATAATGTTTTTTCAGTACTACACCTGTACTAATTATGTATAGATTGAACACACATTCATAGTAAGCCATCATATTAAATTTGCTGTCCACAAGCCTCTGCACAGGGATAATGCATCCATGCCTGTGAATTCATGGATGGATCAATTTGCAGAATCAACAACAATTTAAAATTAGTATGTTTCAGTAGAAGTGTACATACTTAGCTGTACTATTTGCATGGTCTTGTGCAGAGTTTCAGATTTTCAAGTTGAAACTTTATTTCAAGAAAGCTGTATTTATTAGAAAATGTAATAGATAAATGGAAGAATGCCAAGATGTATTTTGTGGCATTCATGTTTTTTCAATTTTTCCTGGATTTGAAAAAGCAAAAATCAATTTGATGAGACATCTTGATGATGTTGTTATAAATAGCAAAATGATGTTTGTAGGGACAAACATCTCAAGAGACTTACTTTTTTTCTCTAAGAACCTATTTTGCAGAATTTGACTAAGGGCTGTAAAGATTGAAATGGTTTCAGGTACTTCCAGTTGAGGGGCCCGTACGTGGCTTTTTGTTAAGTCATTTTAAAGAAGTTGTCCTTCATGTTGTACTTCATTTTGTTTTTTAAAGAACAGGGGGGCAAATACAAAATACATTTGCAACTGAAGTTTCAATTCAAATAATTTTTGCTTTTCCTGTCCAATTATATTTTATTTTAAGATGGTTAAGTATAGCTGTGTGAAGTAGTGAACTGATAATTTCCTGTCAACTTCATTTCATAACTTGCTGCTTTAAATGTAGAGCAGGAAAATAAATTCTGAACAGTGTGCTATTTAAGGCCCCATCTTTTTAGTGGCTTGTTATAATTGATTATCCTGTGTTCCACCCAGACAAGCGGTAATGCAGAATAACATCCGTAAGTTGAGGCTAGCTGCTTTTTCCTCCTCAACCAGTTTGCTTATGAAAGAAATTAAATTTCAAGTTTTGTGGGATATAAGATATTTTAATAAATGATGATTATGGTTTCAGGTGTACATTGAGTTGCTGTATTAATTATCATTACTTCAACAGTATAAGCGGTCATAAAGATAGCAACACAACTAATATTAAAATATGACAAAAGTGGACAACAGTTTCAACCAGAAGCTATTAGATTAGGAAATACTGTGGATACTCTAGTTAGGAATATTAATTTGAAGCTTTGGCCTTAATTGATGGAAAACATATTCATAGTAGCAGTTCATTACTTGACCAGTGATGCATTATTTACATGCTTTAACCAGAATTGTTTTGGGTTTGGATTTTTATTTAATTTCAGTTATTAGAGTTTCACATCTTATTTTTAAAAAAATCTATCATTAATTCTACGATTCAACAGTGACCATACTGTGAGACTGTAACTATGAGGTAATACAGTACTGATGTAAAAGCAATGATACTACTTTTCAGGTGTTTTTTTCATCTTAATACACTGTTGTTACAGAAATATTTTATTACAGTATCTTCTTATTCTACTTTGAGAAATGACATTTCAAGAATAGTTCATTTATAATCTCTTAGCCACTTATGTTAAAAACAGGAAGGGAAAACAAATTTCCTCTTATTCCTCAGCCCTAAACAATTAACTTGCTTTCTGATAGTTAATCTCATCTCTTATAAGTGTGTAAATAGAATTTAGATCTCATGTTTTTGTTTATTAAAAACATGCCAGGTATGAGGACCTGCACAGGAAAAGATTCAAAATCACAACCCCACGTAATGAGTTCTACCAATGATGCACAAGTCAGAATAAACACCATTACCCTATTCTGCTGATGTAAACCTTCCCCCCGAAACAAACAAAAAACCCCAACCATATTTCTTCTAATAAATGTAATGAGCTGAATGAGATAGATACAATTAATTTCACAGGAAGAGCAAAGTTTTATTGAGAAGGCAGCATATTTAAGTAACAATTCTCAATATGGGTACGATTTAGTATGTGAAACATTGTGATACAAAATAAAGCAATTATCTCTAAGGAAAAAAGTTTGTTCAAGGAGATTTGCTCAAGGAAATTTGCCAACACCATTTTTCAACAATCTGAAAACACCAATGTGATGCACTGCATTGATGCTAACCTTTTTTGGGTATAGCTGTACGATAGGTTGCAAAAAGATTATGTTTATTTTCAGAGGTTTTTCTTGCATTTGGCAATTTCATAATTCTCAACACATCGCATGAAGCAATGGACTATAGTGGATTCAAGAATATTCTTTGATATCTGGACATTATGGCAAAAAGGTTCTGTTCATATATGTATCTGTGAATTATTTCCCTGGAGCTTTTTCTCAAATAATACATGCGTCAGCATTCCCTCTTAGCTAGAGTAGATAGTTCTTCATGAGAATATTAGTGGGATTCTGGAAAAGCTTAGCTGTTGAGCAAAATAACTATATACCTCATCTACAGCAGACAAAGTAGGTTTTTAATACATTTTTCTACTGAGATATCAGACTCTTCCTCTGCAGCTAGAGCAGCAGTATTAAATTAATATAAAGATCTTTCAGACAATGATAAAAGGAGCACATTTTAGAAAGTATTGTCATTGCTAGGCTATCATTTGAATTGTTGGTGTCCTTTATTTTCTGAGAGTCGTGACCTGGCATTTTTGGTGAGTAAGAAAAAGCATCTAAAAGAAAATGCATTTCAGTTCCACTTCATATTGCCAACTTCCCCAGTATTGTCCTTCCTTAATAGATTTTAAGCTTCGTCAACAGGAAATCTTGAATATGCTGGACTCTGTGAAGTGTTTATTGCATTATTCAGTTGTAACCTTTGTACCATACCTGCAATTCTTCTATTCTGTGAGGTTTAATAATATTTTGGTTTAATAATGTTTTAATATAAAACACTGTAAATACATATAATAATTATAATATATTTAATTTGTGCTTTATAGCACAAATGTGTGTATACTTGCTGATTATATATTTATTAAAGAAAGAGTTAGCAGTTACAAAACATTGAGATATTAGTCACAGGATTGTGCTGTAGAGAGTAGTGATACCTTGGTCTAGCAGAGAAAATTAGTCGTAATATGCATAAAATGTCTCTAGGGCATTAGATCTGTCTACTAGAAAGCAATGAAATATATAAAAAAAAAAAATTATCTGGTCTTAAAGAGTTTCTTCTCACTGCAAAATTAAATGACCACACTTCAGTGTGAAAATGAAAAATCCCATAAAGGTTATGTCTGATTAGGCATCCTATAGATAGAAATTACAGCGTCAGTTTTAATTAATCACTTTTAAGATCTGATTTAGGTCCTAGAATATGATTATGGTGAACAGAAAATAAGATTGATGTCTCTAAGATTGAATCCACTGATTATTAAATTCTGGAAGGAATATTGCCTAAAATTTTTGTTGTGAGGTTGTTCCTTTGGGGATTTCTCCCCTCCAAGTGCAGTATTTTCATACAATCAGGCAAAACATTTTTCATTTATCTGTATGAAATAGCCTGTCACTGAAGAAAGAAATTAATTCTATTTTGAAGCTCAGATACAGTTAACAGTTTGCAGTAAAATAATGTGAATCAGTTTGCTAGCATTTCTCTTCATTATTGTATCAAATGCTAGTGGTTAATCATGGAAATGTAATTTGTTTTGATTCCTTATGCTGTGAACTGTCATTAATGTATTCTTCCTGTTGTCAATCTCTATCATATGTAATCTCTGTTTGTATATTTTTCAATTTTAACGCTGCATTAGCTCAGTCATAGGTTTGGTCAAATAGTTTCCTTTATAGTCCACTTTCATATTTTAATGTAAAAAAGAGATTCTGGCTCTGCTACTTCGTCTGTTTACACGCTGAATAACAATTGTAATAATAAAATTGACATCACAAGTTAAATTTTCTAGTCCATGCAGAGCAAAACCTAAATCAAGAATTGGCACTGCTGAATTAGAATGCTACATCTGCTAACTGGTGAAGGCCTGTCTGTTAATATTTACTTAAATTAACATTTATTTGCACTCATGATTGGTACATTACAGATAAATAAAACTTGTTATAACAAGTACACTTGTGTTTTAATCACATTTTTATCAATCTATCCGAAAAATATCACACACATTAGCTCTTTGTAAATACAGATATAAGAACAGGAGGGATCTTTGGCAACAAGCATCACAATTCTTTGCACCATATAATTGAGTCTTTCAACATAAATCATCATAATAGGTTATATGATTTCAAGTATGTAGAAAGCTAAAAGCTGTAAAAAGTTGTGAAAAGAAACACTAAAATGTTG